GGCCTGGTTTGCTACATGTGCAACTATTTTGCTCTTATTTGAGGCTAAAAGCATAAAGGCAGCAGGACCGTCTCTCCCTATATGTACCCCGAAGAGCTTTGCGCTCGTCAGAACAACATCTTCTGGTAATCTGGCCCCAAAGACATCCACTTAGACTCGACCCGAGCCAGAGTCTTTTCAGCTCCAGCTCCAGCTCCAGCCTCCTGGGAAACTCTTCCAAGTGAGATCAGGGCCCTGTGAGACTTATTACAGTTCCGCAGGGCCTGTAAAACAGAGTTGTTCTGTCAGGACTTTGGCTGAGGCAGCGAGTGTCCAATTACACCGAACTCCCAGGCTCTAATTCGCCCCTATGCTGTGCACAATGTAAACCTGTGCCATAGGTGGAGGCTCTTGCCCACTTGCTCAATACGTTGGCTCTTTTTGGACACATATACAACATGCACCTGGGAGCTTTGTTAAATTATCAGTTCACCATGATGTGTTATGCTAATCTGGGTTTTATAGGTTTTTAACCGTAATTATGTTGAAGTTGTTTTAACTGTTTTATTTGCCTGTTGTAACCCACCCAGATCCCACTAGCAGGAGAGGGCAGGATAGAAATCCAAATAATAAATAAATAAATATGTCTCCCAGCCTGACTTATGCTTAGGGTTGCCAGGTCCGTTAGAGACGCTGGCTGGGAGGGGGGGGGTTCCGGGAGCTGAAGCGTCACCCCCAACATGCTGATGTCACTGGAAGTAGCATTGGAAACCATGCCTATGTCATCCAGAAGTGACGTCAACTCATCAGGGGTGGCACTCTGTTTTGGGAGCAAACATCTATGGTAAAATTGAACTCAAACCATAGAGTTTTGCCCACGTCACTTCAGGTGATATAGAAACGTTGCACAATGTTGCTTGGGGGGGGGTTCTTCCTTCTTGCCAGCTGGCAGGCAGTGGGCAGGAGCCCACAAAACCAGGCTACCCGCCTCCACCAACTGGGGAATGGAAACTGTAAATATGCCATAGTGTCACTGAGAGTTAAAATAGGAGGGATGTTTCAGGGAAAAAGGTGGTATGAACTAGTAATACGGTAAGTAAATAACCAAACACTGTGAACTGAGATGAACCCAGCACCTTTGAAGTTCTACTCCAGGGCAGAGGTCATTTCGGGGGGAACGCGGGGGAACACAGTTCCCCCGGGGGATGTGCAGGGGGCGGGGCACATGATGAAGCCCTGCCCCTGCTTCCGGCCACCCTGCTTCCAGCCCTCATTCAGCCAGGAGGAGGCAGGAGAAGAGGGAGGGTAAGTTGCTTCCTCCCCGCCTCTCCCCACCCCTGCCTGCCTGGGGCCAGGGAGGGCCTTGGCGGGGCTTCCTCGCACTCCCGCTGGCCTTGCAGGTCCACCGCCGGGCCCCTGATGTCAGGGGGTGTGGCATATGCTAATGAGTTATGCTAATGAGTTCCCCTAGCTCTTTTTCTACGAACTGACCACTGCTCCAGGGCAAGGCCCAGTGAGTTTCTTAGGCCCAAAGAGGCCCTCTCAGAAGTAGAGAGAGGCCCAGGCCACCTCCCCTTAATAAAAAAAATAAAGATAATGGCCCACAAAAACAAAACAAGACAGCAAAGTAAGAGTGAGAAATAGAAAGTTATGAACATTCTCAAATGCCAGGTGTCAAAACTTGAGCCCTTCTCTGAGCTTGAGGCCCCAGGCACACTACCCCGCCCCATTGCTTAAGCCCACATAGACTCTCTTGACTCTCTTGCTCCCTCAGCTTTTTGCCCCATGTCAGCTTCTCCTTCTGAAGAACATTTTGCCTGTGCACAATCTGCATGTGCAAGTGAGTATCTTCAAGCTCCTGTGCACGCTTCCTTTTCTCACCTTGCTCTCCTCTGTGGCCCTGCAAGTCCTTCCTGGTCACACTTTTGTTCTGTGTTTCCTTTTCCCCATCATAGGGTGCGTTCAGACAGACACCTAATACCACAATTAGTCCAGCTCTAATTTGATCCCGTTTTTTTTTAAATCCGGCATTGCACAACCAGACAGCTCCCCTTACCGTGCGCATACTCTGCAGTGGATTGTTTAGACGGCATCCACCTGAAGGAGCCACGCGGTTGGGTTTTTTAAAAAAACAAACTGTTTGCACATGCGCATCTGCACCTCAACCAGTGTTCCCTCTAAGCTGAGTTAGTGTGAGCTAGCTCATAGTTTTTTAGCCTCTGGCTCACACATTTTTGTCTTAGCTCAGAAAGGATGGCTCCAGAACAAATTAATTTATGCAGTAGCCAAATTGTTTGCTCACAACTTTAATGCCAGCAGCTCACAAAGTAGAATTTTTGCTCACAAGACTCCACAGCTTAGAGGGAACATTGAACTGTCCTCAACGTGTACTTGTTTTTCCGCACATGTGTGGAGTTGAATGTTTAAAGCACCGCCACTGGTACCTCTCTCTAGGTACCTTTTTAATTAATGAAGTTCATAAAATTCACAGGCCGTTTAGAAACATGAAATTGTCAATGTTTGAGCAGAGCTCTGCGGCTGTCACGTGTTTACACATTTATGTGCATATCTGTAAGATTTTTTTTTTAAATGGCGCCCTCTTGGGATGGTTGGACATCAGACCATCCCGACAGAAGGATTGCACGCTGGAATGATCAGATGGGGGAAGGTCTGCAAGTGGCCCATCAGGAAGCGAAAACTCCAGATTTTAACTAGTATATTTTAAGTACAGCTCCAAAGCGTGGCAAAATGGGATGCTCACAGAACAGGCACATTTCCCAGATGCTGCTGTCTGGTCATGACCTTTAAATCCACCAGGCACTCATGGCGCGGATCTAAAAACCTGTCTGATCAGGACCTCAATGTCCCAAACTCACCTTTACTAAAACCTCACCTCAGCTTTCGTCTTGACTTGCTATTGCTTTGGACTTGGCATCTCAACTCATTTCACTGCATGCACACATACAGGGTTGCTACGTTTTTACCCAAATACCGGAACCCCCCATATTGCTGGTGATGTGATGACATAACTTTCTGTGTGCACTGGAAGTGATGTTGCTGCACTGCTAGGCCTCATCTTGATGCTGGTGAAGTCCTCCCATTGGCCCGGCAATCAGCAGTGGGGAATAGAGTCCAGAGGTTGGGGGCTAGTAATTCTATACATGCATGTATTTGTTTAAGTAATTATATCCCACTTTTCTTGCCACTGGTGACTGGAAATGGCTTATGGAAAAACATCCCATAAATATCATTAGACAAACAAATAGGAAATTCAGTATAACCCCACAGCTGGTCTGAGAGCTCACTGGGCTGACTCACTCAAAGTCATAGGGTGAGAGTCCTATGGGTTGGCTTCATACTAAACTGTCAATTGCCACCAGTTGCCCCTTCTTACTGCAGAACCTTCTCATGTCATTCCTCTGGGTCCTCTGTCCACCAGGCGTAGTTCCCTCTAAGCTATGTGTGTGAGCGGATGCTCATTAACACATAAAGCCCTGCTCAGCAGCAATCTGGAAACGTGCAGGGTCTTGCCCTGCCCATTGTCCATTTTAAGATTACAGCAATTCTATTCTGCTCAGGATGTAAACTGTTCCGCTCGGGGGGGGGGGGGGAAGTACCTCCAGGAGCAGTTGTTTGCTGAGGTCAGTGGGCTGCACTCGGAAAAGGGGAAGCAGGAAAGTTCCAGTCTGACATCCAACAATCTGGATCCAGTCCTCGGCTTCCTGTTATTTGGGTCACACCAAAAGGTTCACACCTCTGGTCATGCTCAGACTTTAATATCAGGAAGGGAACTTGAGGCTCAGCCTTAATCTTCTAAGAAATAGGGCTGCCAGATCCCCTGGTGGGGGGGTTGCCCGTTTTAGGCCCCCCCGATCCACCGGCCCGGATCCGACCAGTGAGGGAACCCCACCCCCCAAGTGCCTGGACTGGGCACGTCACTGGGAGGATGTTCTAGCATTTGGCCTGAAAACTCTATGGTATCATAGAGTTTCTAGTTGAATGCTAGAGCGTCCCCTTGGTGATGTGCCTAGTGTGATGACATCACTTCAGGGTGATGTCATCTCCAGAAGATGCTGGGAGAAGAGTTTCTCCCCCAGCCAGAAAAAGGTAGGGACCTGGCAACCCTAAGAAGAAAGTCTCCAGAAAAGCATGTGCTCTATTATTAAAGTATGGTCCCCACCCTACTGATGTTTGAATCAGTTAATGACCATCACCTTATTTTATTCCTCTCTACCTTTTCAAGGTTCTTTCTTCTACATTTCTGCTTCACCTGTTCCTGGTCAAATGGCTAATTCATTAGACCCGCTCAAAGTTCTCACCATCCATTCCCCGATAGAACATCACTGTTTTTAGCTTTTCAGGCTAATTACCAGTACAGGGGAAAATAAATATGTAGCCACATATCACAAGTGGCACATCTGTGGAGAAGATTGCACACAAAGAGACAATTAAGCATCAGCAAGATAACAAGATACCAATAGGATTAAAGTGGCGTGCTGGAACACATCTTGATAAATATGTCTCAGAGACAACATTCTAACCACACAAGGCCACGAATGGAATACAAATACAACTCACTGAAATCATTATAGAGCAATGAAAGAGGGGAAAAAAATCCCCTATAATAGCTAGTCATTCAGAGTGGCTGAAACCATGAGAGTTTTGTGTGCAAATGCAAGGTATGGTTGTAAAGTGCCATCAAGAGGCAACTGTCTTATGGAGACCCCTCAAGAGGTTTTCCAGGCAAGGGGTGAACAGAGATGGTTTCTCACTGCCTGCCTCCATGTAGTGATCATGGACTTCCTTGGTGGTCACCTGTCCAAGTACTACTAAGGGGCCACACTGCTTAGCTTGCAAGATATGATGAGATCAAGCTAGCCTGGGCCATTTTGGTCAGGGCCAAAGGAGAGGTAGGAGTGAAATCAAGAACTGTATCTTTTGTTTGGTGGACAGTTTGCTCTGAGGATACTGAACAACGTTTAAACTGGGTCTCACAACGGTACTTAGGCTTGCATACATACCCACGATGGACATTTCTGGAACAGTTGCATGATATGGACCGTCAACAAACTCCGGAGCATTGTCATTGATGTCCTGAACCTTAATGATGAATTCTGAAGGAGGCTCCAGGGGTTTGTTTGTATCCCTATCGACTGCTTGGGCCGTTAGCGTATATTCAGCTTTTTCTTCCCGGTCAAGTCTTTTCATTGCATGTATATCACCTGTCTTGTCATTGATCACAAAGATAGTCCCTGCTCCGTCACCTGAGAGGATGTACTTGATCTTGCTGCTTCCGGGATCCAAATCCGTGTGTAGCTGAAATGAGAAATAAGCATTTTAGTGATTTTTTTTTAAAAAATGTGGTGCTTGCCCATTTTTCTTTTATATGGGCTTTGCCAAATGTTCCTCTTCTCTGTTTGTGCTTTCATCCACGCTTTAAGGATCCATATCAGCTTGAACACACCAGGATAGGAAGGATTTGCATGCATACTAATCAAAATTAAATGTAATCATAGGTATAATTAGACATTTCTATTTTTATAAAACAGCTGTTTTATATATATAAACCCTCTCTTTCCTAATGTAAATGTCTTCTGATCTATTATCACCCCAAATGAACAAAAGCATTGAACATCCTAAACGAGGACATCAAAGAGGGGATGAAGCATTTAGGATATAATTTGCTTTTTAATCCATTGATTTATTTCCATACTTTGGATATTCTTTCCAGACGGTTTCTTGAAAGCAGTGGTAGGACTTTAAGGAAGATTGCTTTGCATTCAGCAAATCTGATCACACTAATTTAGTGTAATTGACAGTGTTGATAAAAGAGCCTTTCAGTTTGACTCAATTGTTTAATTGAACAATAATAAAGGGGGGGGGGAGTCATTTCCAAAAGGCTACTCCTGAAAGAGTATTTCACTGAAACAAGTTGCCAGACGGGGAAGTTCTCTTTCAAAATAAGTCAGCTTGTACGCCATCACAAGTTATTATGCAAGTCACCCTGGGCATTATGTAAGACCTGCTGGGATTATTATTAATCATTATTAATCACTTTTAGAGTATGTTCCCTGTTGTCAGGATTTATTTGTCTGATAGAAGCCAATCCCTGGATTCTAGCACTGCATTATGGATTTAAAGTAATCTCATATTGTTCTATAAATGGACAGAGCGATGGCTCAAACACCTACGTGCACATGCAAGTCAGAGCTACCTGTGGTTTCATTTTTTAAAAAAACGGAGATTTCTGAACCTAACGCTCAAATAGGGATGAGAAGATAACCACTTCCATTTCTTTAATGGCGCAGAATTCCCCCGTGCACCAAGTTCCATTCCCCCTTAATCCCATTGGAGCTAGAATAATGTCCAAAATCAATTCCTGAATTGAAAATGTGTTGCGTGCTTCAGCTTTAAGTCCTTCCATCCATGTACATGATCAGTTTCACCTACATTATTAAGACAGTTTCAGAGGGTAGCCATGTTAGACTGCAATAGAACAGCTAGATTCAATTCCAATAACTCCATAGAGACCAACAAGATTTTGGGGGTGGAAGCCTCCAAGAGTCAAAGCTCCCTTCATCTGACAAAGGAAGCTTTGACTCTTGAAAGCTTATACCGTGGAAATCTTGTTGGTCTTTACGGTCCTAGTGGACTCGACTGCAGCTGTTTTACACTATTAATGATCAAGGCCCACAAAAGAAGCAGTTGCAGTGTGTGCATGTACAATCACACCAATAATTCTTCTCTACATTGTTTTAGCAACGTGTCAGAGCACATGCACCTCCATAAGATACCCCGCCAAAGGAAACTTAATGCTGTCATATGCATGGCCATACCAAGCTTTTTTTAAAAAAATAATAAAGTATATGTTTGCATTGTTAAGTGGAGCTGAGGTGGCTCAAGTGGTTAAGATGCTGAACTGCAGGCTGTGGAAGGTCGGTAGTTCAGCAGTTCGAGACCCGAGTGTGCCGCATGACGGAGTGAGCTCCCGTCTCTAGCTCCAGCTCCTGCCAACCTAGAAGTTTGAAAGCAAGAAATTGCAAGTAGATAAATAGGTACCACTTCAGTGGGAAGGTAACAGCGTTCCGTGCGCCTTGGTGTTTAGTCATGCCGGCCACATGACCATGGAAACGTCTTCAGACAGCGCTGGCTCTTCAGCTTTGAAACGGAGATGAGCACCGCAACCCTAGAGTCAGATTTGAGCAAGGGAACCTTTACCTTTTTTACCTTGCATTGTTAATGTACAGCAGGAGGAAGACATAAAATTACATAAAGTAAATGAAAGAAGTGACAGTTGTGGCAAAGAGCACATATGCAACTTTGTATCAAATTGGGAATAAAAGGTGAACCAATGATGCATACAGGACTTTATAATTTGGAACTCCAAAATCTTGGTCGAACATCGGATGCAGGGAATTTTGGAAGTATCCATGCTTTTGAAAGGTGTTATTTTTTTAAAAAATAGGGTTGTAAAGATATAATTGAATGGCAAGTCCCCTAGCCCTCTATCCCCAACTACTAATCTTAAAGATTTGAAAAACAGACTCAAGTAGTAAAATTTATTGTGTAGCCAATGGCCATTACAATTTAAAATTTAAACAATATACAAATTAGACAACTTACAACACTGGAATTTGAATTAAATTTAAAATATAATAAGCTCTAAAATCTGCATTCAGTATTTAAATTATTTAAAATCTTAAATATAGATACCCATCTACAGAAACACATACAGACTCAAGTACATTCTTAACACTCCCATTTTATTAGGACTAAAATGTGCATTATTTTTGGCTACATTTTAACCAATGAATGTAACCAAAGTATATGTTCTACCACTCAGCCACAGTCTCCTAAAAATTGTAACTTGCACATGGCATAAACTGGGGGCAGGGAGAGTCTGGTGCATTGAAAAACTGTACTGAGGCAGCTATGCAGATTAGAGGATGTGGCTGATCACAACTGTGCTGATGTTCGCTGAGCAAACATGTCTTCTCAAAGAGGCACTGACGTCTTCATACCACATACAAGGTAGACTTTAGCAGCACACAGAAACAAGGAAATTCAGATTCAAAGTCTCTGGACTGTGTGAATGAAAGCTGGACCCACATGGAAAATCTACACAACTGCCCAATATAAAAAGGTGACTGCATGTATCGTGTTTCTTTTACATTCAACTGGAAGGCTCACAGTTTGCATAAACAGAATGTTTGAAGAGAGTCGCTCAATCACTGCATCAAACTGGCTTTCCTTCTCCCTTCACACTAATGCCAGGCTAAAATGATCATCACCTTTCTAAATTTTAAAATAAAGACCTGATATTGACTAAAATGCCATGTTTTTCTTTCTCATATGCGATGGAGAACACAGTCCTGAGATGATCTAAACAAAAGAAACACAGACTGATAGAACAAAGCGCTTGAGCGTATCAAAGTGTATTATAACATACAACAATATTAAAGCAGATACTAATACACAAAAGAATGGTAAGTTTCAGGTGAAGGTGAACTTCTATCAAAATGCAAGTGAATCCGACAAAATCCTCCGGAATGACTCTTCGTTTCGCCTCTTCATCAGAAAAATTCCTACACCTATGCTTGTCTAGTTTCATTCATACCACAGTTTGACATATCATATACAAATCTTCTCCTGGTTTTTCTACCATAAATACATTCTTAAATCAAATGTTTCACCGGGCGTGACTTAGTTTGCATCATGAACTAGGTGTAGGAATTTTTCTGATGAAGAGGCGAAACGAAGAGTCATTCCGGAGGATTTTGTCGGATTCACTTGCATTTTGATAGAAGTTCACCTTCACCTGAAACTTACCATTTTTTTGTGTATTAGTATCTGCTTTAATATTGTTGTATGTTATAATACACTTTGATACGCTCAAGTGCTACATTTGATTTAAGAATGTATTTATGGTAGAAAAACCAGGAGAAGATTTGTATATGATATGTCAAACTGTGGTATGAATGAAACTAGACAAGCATAGGTGTAGGAATTTTTCTGATGAAGAGGCGAAACGAAGAGTCATTCCGGAGGATTTTGTCGGATTCACTTGCATTTTGATAGAAGTTCACCTTCACCTGAAACTTACCATTTTTTTGTGTATTAGTATCTGCTTTAATATTGTTGTATGTTATAATACACTTTGATACGCTCAAGTGCTATGTTTTTCTTTCTAGCATCTGGCTTTGCTCAAAGCACATGAAGCTAGTTATCTGAAAACCATTCGCATGGCATTCAGCAATACTACTACAGGCTACCCCAACAAATAAGCAAATCAGCAGGTTAGCTCCACACTTGGTGACATAGTTCCCCCCCAAACCATTGTCATTTTTGTCACAGCGGGGGGGGGGGGGGAAGAAGATATCTGAAGTCATTAAGTGCAGAAATTTTGTCCCCAAGGAGCATTTCTTCAATTAGTTAAGAAGATATCTGAAGTCATTAAGTGCAGAAATTTTGTCCCCAAGGAGCATTTCTTCAATTCTATAAAATATGCATGTAAATGCAAAGTGATTGCCAAGATTCAGAGCCCTTTGCTCCTGTCAAGGTTAAAGATCATTAAGCTCATAATTATGTGGGGCCATAATGAATGACAAAGAGAGAGAGAAGATAAATGAATGTGAATTTCCACACTGGAAAAGCCTTCACAGATGTCAGAAACATGAATCAATTCTCTATACCTGTAGCCTTCCTCTTCACACTAGTTATAGAAATTGGAACTATACTCTGATCTTCCCTATTTACCCTTGAGAAATAGATCACAAAATAGATCCCCATTTCTTGCCGCTGCTCCTGAAAAAAATATTTTTTTTAAATCACCACTGTCAATGGCATGACTTCACTTCCACAGAAAACCCAGAAGTTACATCATTCTGCTCTAGGAATTGCTGGAAACACTATGGCTTTACCATAGAGTTCTCTGTAACTCTTCAGGAGGTGTGATATCATTTCTGGGTTATCCCAGGAAGTGATGTTGTGCTGTCACTCAACAATGCCCCCCATGTCTTCCCCAGACTCCTGCCAGTTGCCAGCTGCTTGCTGACCATGCTACAACCTTCTATGGCCATAGCTGGCAATTATTCATGACTTCAGGGCAATCCAGTACCACACATGTTGATGATAGGGTTGCCATGTCCTACTCAGGAAATACCTGGGGACTTTGGGGGTGGTGCCTAGCAAGGATGCGACACAATTTATATGATGTCATGTCCTGTGATGTCACTTCCAGGTCAAAGGTCAAGTGATGTCACTTCGAAAGCTCCACCCCCTTCTGATGATGTCACTTCCAGCATACTGTATCAAAA